TGATTGGGTTATGTGAGCCTTAACCTAATCACTACATTAATCCCAACTGGAAGCTAGGGCGTGGCTAGAAGAGGTAGATCTTTGGGGATGTACCTTGGGGTTTATATTTTGACCCTGGGGAGCTGAGCTACTTCTCTCTGCTTCCTAGCTGTCTTGTACTGGGCTGCTTTCCTCCTTCACACCCTTCCACCATGATGTCCTGCCTCACATCAGGCCCAGAGCAACACAGTAAGCCATCTATGGACTGTGACCTCTAAAACCATGAGCCCCAAATAAACTTTTCCTTTAAAATTGTTCTTTTCAGGTCTTTGAGCCACAGCACTGAAAATGATGACTAAAACACCATTCACTGTCAATGGACATGACACTGGTTGCCTCTGCACTTAGCTCCTTGAATGATGCTGCTGACGAATATAAGTGTAAAAACATCTCTTTGAGACCCTCCCTTCTATTCTTTTGGATTTAAACCCAGCCGCAGAATTACTGGATCATATGGCTAATTCTATTTTAAACTTTTTGAGGAACCACCATACTGTCTCCCACAGTGGCTGTTCCATTTTACATTCTCATGAAAAGCACACAAAGGTTCCAGTTTCTCTACCTCCTTGTCTTTTTGATAACAGCCATCCTAATGAGTTTGAAGTAGTATCTAATTGTAGTTAAAATCTGCATCTTCTCATGAGCTTATATATCATCTTTGGAGAAATATCCATTCAATTTCATTTGCTTTTTTTTTTTTTTTTTGCAGTGCTGGGGATGAAACCCAGGCCCCAGTTCTCCTCTGCCCATTTTTGAATTGAGCTTATTGTTGCTGCTGCTATGGAGTTTTAGGAGTTCTTAGACAGTGTGTGTATTAATCTGATGACTCTCAGATACTTTTTCCCACTCCAGGAACTGCTTTTTGACTCTGCCAATGGTCTCTTGACGTACAAATGTTAATTTTCCTGAAATCCAACTTACCAATATTTTTCTTTTATTCTTTGGGTTTTCAGTGTCATATGCAAGAAATCACTGCCAAATCCAATGATATGAAGTCTTAAGAGTTTCAGTTTTAGGTCTCACATTAGGTCTTTCATCTATTTTTAGTTAATTTTTATATGGCAAAAGGCAAGGATCCAATTTCCTTCTTTGCCTATGGATATCCAGGTGGTTTTTTTTTTAACTTCATTTGTTGGGAAATAAAACTGTCTTTTCACCTTAAATGGTCTTGGCATCCTTACAAAAATAATTCCACCATATATGCAAAGGTTTATTTCTGGGCTTTCATTAATCTACTCCATTGGAATGTATGCCTTTATTCTAGCACTACAATTTTTTATTTACTATATCTCTGTAGTAAGGTTTGAAATTAGGAAATGTGAGTACCTCCAGTTTTACTCTTTTTCAAGACTGATTTAGCTATCTAAAGTCACTTAAGATCCCATATGAATTTAAGATGGGTTCCTATTCCTGCAAAATACATCACAAGATTTTTTGATAAGAGATTGCAATAAAGCTGTGGAACTGACATCTAAACAATATTAGATCTCCCAACCCATCAATATGGGGCATTTCCACTTGTGTTCCTTCTTTAAGCAATCTTTTGTACTTTTCATCAGATGAGTCTTTTGCTTTCTTGGTTCCTAAGTATTCTATGCTTTTTGGTGTTGTTTATGTTTATTTCTAGTGTATACAAATACAACTGATTTTTGTGTGTTAACTTTGTATCCTGTTACCTGTTATTAGTTCTCACTGGTTTTTGTATGTGTGGATCCTTTAGTGCTTTCTCCATGTAAGATCACATTAACTGTAGAGAGATAATTTTACTCCTTACTATTCAATGACTTTCATTTTGTCAACATAAATAACAAAAGATTTTCCAATGATAATGATTTCAATTTGAAATGAGCATAGCAAGTGCAAATGAAAAATGAATACACACAGTATGGGTCTACTTAGGGAGGTGAAGAAAAACAAAGTTTTTGTTTTCATTTAGGTTTGGTTTGGTGGCACGGGGGATCAAATCCTGGGCCTCACAAATGCTAGGTAAACACTCAACCACTGAGCTAAACCCCCAGCCCAAGACAAGGGTTTTTAAAGATGAAAAGAAGAATACATGAAAGTTATTTTGTGACAAAGAGTACATGGACTACAGGCACTTATCATAGGAAGTGACTTAGTTCATTAGTGAAGACAGTGTTTCATTTCAGGTGTGTGTTCTTGTGCATCTGGCTAGCCGTCCTTGTGACTCATGTAGCAAGCTAAAATTTGGAAAAGCCTTGGCAAAAGCTCTTATATGCATAGGAGCCCTTCAGATAATCTTTTACAGTTCTTATCTGTAGGCATGTGCACAAGGGCTCTCCCTTCTAACAGAACCTCCTGACTACTTTGAGTTTGATACAGTGACTCCTTCTTGGTATTAACAACTTTCTCTATTCTTTTTCTTGCATAAATGATCTAGCTAGAATTTCCAGTACTGTACTGAATAGAAGAAGTGGCAGAGGTTGGGCTATAGCTCAGTGGCAGAGCACCTACATGGCACATGTGAGGCACTGGGTTCAATCCTTAGCACCACATAAACAAATAAAATAAAGGCATACTTTCCATCTATAACTATAAAAAAATTTAAAAAGAAGTAGACATCCTTGCCTTGTTCCTGATCTCGGAGAAAAGTTTTCAGTCATTCATTATTGATTGCGACATAAATTATAGGCTTCATATGCAGCATTTTTTTATGTTGAATTTCCTTATACTTGTAGTTTAAAGTATTTTTATAAAAACAATCCCTCATAAAAATGTGGGGTTATATTTTGTTTTTATGGTGCTGAGGATTGAACCCAGGGCCTTGTGCATGTGAGGCAAGCAGTCTACCAACTGAGCTATATTCTCAGCCCAGAAATATGATTTTTAACTTGGAAAAAAAAAAGTAATCCAGAACTTTTAATCCCATAGCAAAGGAATTAAAAAACAGAAGTTTAGTCTCCCCATAATGAAAATTCTTTATTTGCAATCTAACAATTGAATACTTTATCCAATGACTTTGATTATATCATCTAAAAAGCTGTTCCTGGCTCCTGAGTTTGCCTTGCAAGGTTCCCTAATTTTATTTTTCCAGACTTACCTTTCTGTATAATTCCTTATACCTCTAGAAATTTTACATATACACACACAACGAATAACATGGCCCTATTTTACTTGGACTCTTTAAAAATTTTATACCATTTAGCTTAACAAGATATGCCTAGAAAACTGTGACAACCAAAAGCTGTTTTTTTTTTTAAGTTCAAGCTCTGTCTTCCCATAAAATATCCTAATAGTGTTATAATTCATTAGAAGTAACTCATTTAACTTAATAAAATATTTAATAAATTCCAATGTTAATCTGATTTTACCCTTATAAACAGAAAATATTCACTAAAAGTACTTCCTTATTTCAATCTTCAAACACACATGTTCTTGATCTACATATTAGTAGGAGGAACACTAGAGATTGATATGTGATCTCTAATTCAATACAACATCAGGAGAAAGAAAAATTAATTTGGAACAATACAAAAACTGATTTATATGAGTAAGTTCAAAAGAAGGTTACTCCCTGTGAGCTGAGGTGATAAGAAAAGAACTGTGAGCCTGGCATGGTGGCACATGTCTATACTCCCAGCAACTTGGGAGTCTGAGGAAGGTGATCATAAGTCAATTTCAGCAACTTAGACCCCGTTTTGAAATAAAAAAAATAAAAGGTCAGGGGCATGGCTCAGTGGTAGAGCACCTCTGCGTTTGTTCAATCCGCTGTACTGACAAAAATTTTTTTTTAAATTGGAATTTGGTATTCAAACTGGCCCCTGAAAAAGAATTATGGTATGGCTACATAGTTGAGAAAGAATAAGCATTTAAGAAGAGTCAGTGTAATTAGAGCTGAGGGATCAAAAGCAAGCAAAAGTGTGGGACAGTCAGGCCTGGCACTGGGATGGTAGCAAGGAAAGAGCCAGGTGGGAAGGGATAACAAGGCTGCATAGAGCCTCAAATGGAAACCTGGTTTCTGTCCATATTCAATATACTATGTTATATTTTCCATCACCATTTCAGAAGAAAGACATTTTAAAGCAGTAACAAGAAGGCAATTCAAAGGAAGAAGAGTCATTGCAATTTGAGTATAAAATCAGGCAGGATGTTTCTATCACGATAAACTTCATTCTTCCCTTCTCAGAGTGCTGCATGCAGCACAAGGTGAAGCCTGCTAGTGAGGGTAATGGATCCTGACATCCAGCTTCTCAGGACCATCCCACACACCCTTGATCACACACACGGAGGTCTGATGTGAACAGTGTCTGTTTTTCACAGCTCATTGGAAACAAAAGCAACAGAAAAAAAAACAAAAATTATAAAAGGAAAAATCACTGTGTAGTTGCTAACAAAGAGCCAGAGACCTTTCTTCTCTATCTACTCTTCCCAAGATGAATACTGAATAGAAAATCAGCACAATAAAAAGCACTGTCTACCAATACTCACCTAACCCATGCTTCATCGGCAGCTCTAAGATAAAACATCAAAATGCTTTCTATGAGGAACTATAAGATCTCACTTTAAACTAAATGTTCTTAAATCTATTTCTTTTTTTCCTAACAACCGATTATTGCCTTATGATGTTATATCCAGAGATTATCAAATGAATGTTAAAGTTACCTATTTAAGTGTTTATAATGTCCTCTAGCATTTAAACTTGCTTTAGTATACAAATCTAACTATTCTGCAAGAAAAGTAATATTGAACATAACATTTGCTAAATATTTCACATGACTGATATCAGCATGCTTTACCTATTTTGTTCAATTACAACAAAACTTCTCAGAGTGTGTATTTTGCAGATAGTCAAATCTGATCCATTTTTTCCTGCTTTCATTAGAGGGGACAGTGACCTGGCTTCTAAATAGCCTGAAAGTTAAGCTGAAGAATAAAAGCAACATGGTTATTTTTAGAGCTCTACAGGCATAAAAATACAGCACTAAACTGTGACCTACAGCTATGCACAGCAAAGCATCACATCATGCGACAGTCTTCACTCCAGCTAGGAGCGCATCTGTGGTGCTTCAGACGATGTTCTTCGTCACTACCAAAGACATGTCGGAATGCATTTGGGACCAGTATCCATAGCTGCCGGCATCTTTTTCAAATAGAATGAGGTGCATTCAAAAGGCAGGCCATTATATAATTTGTGAAAATTAAATAGTAAGTTATTTTTGTCATTTCTTCTAGCTTACTTACAAGGTGAATTAATGAGCAGTCTCTCCAAAAGAAGACATCACAACCTCATTCCTAACACAGAAAGTTATTTATTTCAAATACAGTTTCACGGGGCAAATCAGCAGGCTCATTCTACAGAGGAAAATCCAGGAGAACGAGATATGCCTGAATGAGACACAGCTTCATCTTCAATTTGAGTACACTGTGGCAGCATCCCCACATCAGATCCATCAACTTGGCAGGTAAGCTTTAAGCTTTTTCTGTATAAAGCATAGACCAAAAGTATGTCTTTGACAGCCCTTTCCAATGCATTGGTATTTTAAAGCCTCTGAAGAACTTTTAATAGCAAGTGTTACTTTCAGATATTATTCAGTTTGTAGATTATCTCTGACTTTATGCATTTAACTTCTGCTTAGCTACATAAAAGTATTTTCAAAGCTTGATTTTTGGCACTGACCTAGTTAGAAATTTGAAGACTTTAATCCATGTTCTAATCTTATTTTGACCTGCATATCTAGCCACTGAAAAACTTATGCACTTTTTTGACAGTTTTACTGTTCAAATAAACAAACAAATATTTGCTGATCAGAACTATAAAACTGTATAAACATAAACAAGTGAGACTATTTCCACAGGTTAAAAATGCCACTCTTTGGTTGGATGAAATGGCCAAAAAACAGTTCCTACAAACCTACACACTATGCTGACTCAGATATAGTGACAAAGACTCTGCTTCGGGAATTAAAATGGCATCTAAAGGAGCGAGAAAGATTCATACAAGAGATTGAAAATGAGCAAAAAGTGAAAAAAACAGGTGTGGATTATAACTGGCTTAGAAACTACCAGAGTCCCCATACAACCATCCCAGATGCAGAGCAAAGACAACTCGAAGTTCTTTGTTCACAAGTTCATCCTTGCCAAACTGGAACTATTCTCAGCAGGTAAATATACTATGTTCTCTTCTGATATTTGCTACACCCAGGTCTAAGCTCCTCACATATTTAGACTGGAAACTGTAACCTAAGGCATAAATTCTTTAATCATGCATACCAAATACCCACATACCAAAATCCCTAGAGATAAGCTGGATAAAAATATCTGTGGATATCTCACTGGTAGGAAATTCAATTAGAATCAAAATTTCTTTACTAGAAGCATAACTTTAGAGCTACGTACAGATTACTCAAAAGGTGGGTAACTAGTATCGATCACATTATGTAAGCTATACTTGGAGTTGCAGGGACGTGACAAAAAAAAAATTGTCTGAATTGGATATTCATTCCCGCATTCCCCCTAGATTTCGAGAAGTTCTAGCAGAAAATGATGTGCTGCCATGGGAAATAGTCTACATCTTCAAGCAAGTTCTGAAAGACTTCCTCAGTAGTCCTGACAAAGGGACTCAGCATGAGGGCCCACAGCACTCCTGGGACATAGGCTGTCCCCCCGACTCAACACTACCAGGTGAAAGCTCCAAGAGTCCAGAAAAAGATGAAATACCCACCATCTCAAGTTACGTAGACAGGAACAGCAAGAACAGGTTCCCAGCATGCTCCTACAGAATATGGAACCTACCGTACTACTACCCACCAAGTTAAGGTTCCTATAACCAAGCCATCCAAGAACCAATACTCCTAACATTAAACAAAAGTGATGTGACTTCAGTTTTCTTTGTCATGAGGTCAGAAGTTAAAATTCCCATGGATGAGTATCCCGTTTTAAATTGTTCTTTTTTAACCACTCTAAACATGTAATGTTCTCACTGAACAGTATGCTTCTAACTAAATTATTTCCTAAATATTTTTTTAAAATGTTTAAAGTGTTTTCTTATCCTTCAAACACATCTCACAGGAACCAAGGCAATTTAGTATGGATTTTTATATATCCTGTGTGAAACTTAGTTAGCCTTGATTTTTATTCTAAAATAGGCTATGTATAAAATAAATGATTACTGTGAATTCTATCTATACAATATAACAGTGGAATGATGTAAATATCCCATGATGTGATCTCATACTCGGCTGGGGACAGGGGAAGGGGGCATTGAGGGAGGAAATAACCTGCAGTTTACAAACAAAGTAGTGCTTTATCCTGACTCAGATTCATTTTTAATTACTTATTTTCTATCTTAACATTAAAGGAAAGTATTAAAAACATCTCTACAGTGTATCAGTAAAAATAAATGGATTTTTTATCCTACTTCAGAAAAACTTTCAATCTTGACAATGTATACTCATTTAAAATAGCAAATTAGGGCTGGGGATGTGGCTCAAGCAGCAGCGTGCTCGCCTGGCATGCGAGCAGCCAGGGTTGGATCCTCAGCACCACATACAAAGATGTTGTGTCTGCCAAAAAACTAAAAAAATAAATATTAAGAAAAATTCTCTCTTCAAAAAAAATAAAATAGCAAATTACTTAATATATAAAAATTTTACATTTTAATAATTTAATTAAAGTAGAAAGTGATGCATTAGTCAAATTTATTCTTTTGTTAAAGAACTGGAATCCTGGGGCTGGGTTGTGGCTCAATGGTAGAGCACCTGCCTAGCACGTAAGGCAGTGAGTTTGATTCTCAGCACTGCATATAAACAAAGTAAAGGTCCACTGATAACTAAAAATAAAAAATAAAAAACCTAGAATATTAAAACCCTTACCATTTCTTTCCTCCCCACCTTGAGGTACTGGGGATTGACCTCTACCAGTGTGGGATACTCGACTCCACACCCTTTGCATTTTTTATTTTGAGGCAGGATCTCACTGAGCTGCCCAGGCTGGCCTTAAACTTGAACCTCCTGCCTCAGCCTCTTGAGCAGCTGGGATTACAGGTATATACCATCATGACCGAAGCTGTGTCATTCCAGGATGAGAATTCATGCCAGGCCATCTGTCACCCAAAATCCATCTTACAACCAGATTTTAGAAGAGAATAGAATAATACACTCTGTTTTGAGTTTCTCTCATTTTATAATTGGCAATAACCTAATAACAGTGCTTCTTAAGAAAGTCTTAGCTTATGAAATTTAAAACTATAGAGTTGTTTCTGGAAAAATCAACAAATAAAATAGAAATTTTAACACAAATAATTTCCTGAATACTAATAGATCAAGGTTTTTATTCACCGACTATTTATAATACCTAAAGCTGGCAAAGGAATTAGGGTCAAAAATACAAAGGACAGGGCTGGGGTTGTGGCTCAGAAGTAGAGTGCTCACCTAGCATGTGTGAGGCACTGGATTCGATCCTAAGCACCACATAAAGTAAAATAAATACATTGTGTTCACCTATAACTAAAAAAAGTAAATATTAAAAAATACAAAGGACAATAAAGGGTGAGGATGACTGGGAACTCTGCAGGTATATTTTATCAAGAGAAGGTGGTGTGAGAAGTCACAGAAGCATTTAGCTAGGGAACAATGAGAAGTAAGTAAAGACATTCACGGGAAAGAGCTCTACACAGGACTCAACACAACAGACTCCAACCACAGCACTCCTGACCAGCTCAACCCATGGAATAATGTTAAAGTAAGTCCTCTACATACCAGGAACATGTGTGCCTTCCCATTCAATCCTACCCTTGTAAATCAGTGAGTGATATTATTCTCACCTGAGAGAGGAGCAAGCTGCCTCAGAGGGATTAAGTGGCTCACCCAGCAAGAGCTAACTAACTAACAGAAGGGAAGCACACCCACTCTATCTCACCTGCCCTGCCCAAACCTACCTTCTGTGATCCAAATGTAAAATAACAGTTGCTTACTCAACATCTCCTCAAAGTCAACATAATTATCACAAGGCAAGGTAACACAGGCCTATAATCCTAGCAACTTGGGAGGCTGAGGTAGGAGGATAGCAAGCTCGAGGCCAGCTTCAGCAACTTGACAAGGCCCTGTCTCAAAATTAAAACAAAATGAAAATCAACATGCTCAAAACCACCAATCATAAAGGTTTCTTTTCCAAAAGAACAAAAATCAAGGGAGAAATCAGCCAAAACATACACCATTAAGACAATGCCCAGGACACACACAGTAAAAGTACAGCTCTTCAAACACTTCATCAAGTAGCACTGTCCAGAGGGGGGGTTGTGGCTCAGTGTACAGCACTTGCCTAGCACATGTGAGGCCCTGGGTTGGATCCTCAGCACCACATAAAAATTAAAAAATAAAGTAAAGGTATTATGTCCAACTACAACTAAAAAAATATAAAAAAATAAATATAAATATAAAAAAAAAGCCCTGTCCATCTTAGTAAATGACAACACTCTCTAACCATCCAAATCTACAAGTCAGAATCTTTCTGGTCTCCCTGGGTAGGGGAGGGGACCAAGTCATAATCACACAAATGCAAAGATGACTGGCAGAACTAGTTTTTGGCTATCACAAACAAGCATTTGGCATATGATAAGTACTTAGAGGAAGAAAGGTGAAACAGGCTAAGATTGGAAAAGAAGGTGGAGGAATTAAAGAATATGGGAGTCATATGAAATTTCTCTGAAGAGCAGATATTTGAACAGGGCCCCAATTATGCTAGGAGCCTGTCATGGGGGAAAAAAAAAAAACAGGAAAAATAAAGAGGGAGGACAATCGACACAGAAGGAAGAGAAAATGCACAAGCTGAGTGGTGGGAATAGAGTTGGAATCTTCAAGACAGAGAGAAAAATGCAAGTATAGCCCTAGTGCAGGAAAGAGAGCAGCAGATGACACAGGTACCAATTAAGCAACACTGGGCAAGGCAGTCTCCCCACCAGAGTCACACAGGTACTCAAAGACTGATAGTGTGATCATTCCACATGGACCTAATGCCAAGAATTCTTGTAAGTGCTAGACAGATCATTAGTAAGCAAGGATGCAAAACCAGAAAGCCAGAAATGGTTGGCTTTTATAATAATCCAAGCAAGAGATGACCATGGTTTGGCCTAGGTTGATGGTATGGAAACAGTGAGCTGCACTGTAATTCTGGAAATAAGTACAGCACAATCGTCAGAATCCCCTAGTTTACAGTAGCTTACTCACACATACAGCCAAAGATCAAGGCACAATGCAACTCTCCTGGCATACTGTAAGCACCCAGTACCTAGGACCTACTAATGCAGCTCACTCATTCAAACAAATATCTGCACTAATACTATGTGATAGGGACTGCACTAAGTGGTAGAGATTTAGTGACAATTTGTCTTAAATAAGTTCTTCTGCAGGGAAACAACCCATATTATAACTCCCATACAGTACAAAAAGATTCACACTCAGGATGTAAAGCAAGCTACTGTCTCCTGGGAGGTCTCACTCCCTGGTTTTCCTGACCCTCCCCTTAGCTCCTGCCCAGTCTTCTTTGCTCATTCCATCACAACCTCTGAACACCAAGCACCATGGCATGGGCTGTGGACCTCTTCTCACTCTACACCCACCCACCAGGATCTAGCACCCGCAGTCTGAGTGGTCTCACCCTACTAAGCCCAAAGCCCTAACCCTCAGATGTCTTAATTCCAATCATACTTGACTCAACATAGACTGTCTGCATTAACTGCCAACAGGCATTTCAAAGTCAAACTTCTGGTATAGCCCCCACCCCCATATAGTGCAGATCCTCCTGCAGTTTTGCCCTCCTCATTGTTAGCAACACCTTCCAGTTGCTCAGCCAGAAATCTTCTTGCCACCTACAACACTTCCCCACTCACATCCTGTATCTGGCCCAGCTACAAGGTTCTCACCTCTATCTTAAGAGCATATCCCCAGTTCAACCATGCTTACCACCCCTGACTACCTTTCTGGTCCAGTCCACCATCCTATGTCTTGCCTGAATGATGTACTAGTCAGTGTCCTCCAGAGAACCAGAACAGGACATCTGTACAGAGAGATTTACTTTTAAGGAATTAGCTCACACCATCATAGAGGTGCAAGTCCAAAATCTGTTGGGCAGACTGGAGATCCAGGAAGAGCTGCAGCTCACATCTCATGTACCAGTTCATGTGATGACAGAATTTCTTCTTGCTGAAGTGAAGCCAGTCTTTGATGTATGCAGGACTTCAAAAAATTGGAGAAGGCCCACTAAGATCATGTAGCGTAATCTGCTTTACTCAAAGTCCACCAATTCAAATGTTAATCCAAAACACATCTTCACTGAAATCCAGAGCAGTGTTTGACCATTTGTCAAGACACTGTGACTCTGCCATGGTGACACACAAATTAGCCATCACAGATAATATCCACAGACTCCTTCCTGATCTTATTTCTACCCACTTAAATCATGCAGCAGTGATCCTGGTGCAGCCATAAGTCAAACCATAGTACAGCTCCACTCAAAACGCCAAGTCTCCTCCAGTGGCTCCCAGCTCCCACAGATGAAGCAACAAAGTCCTCACTATGATTTAAGAGACAACACATAATCTCTGTTACCTCTCTGGCCTCATCTTTTACCTCCCTTTCAATATACTCTAGCTGCACATAATACACACAGGATACTCCAGTGTTTTTTTAATCAATAGGGAATATTGTTTACCTAATAAACCATCTGTTAGTCAAAATATCTGTTTTTGATATAAAAAACATGGACTTTGTGGTGTTGTTAGTCAGCTATCCAATGCTATAACAAAATACTTGGGGTAATTAACTTATAAAAAGAAAAGGTTTATTTTGACTCATTGTTTTGCAGGTTTGAGTTCATGATCAATCGGCCCCATCTTGGCATCATATCATGACAGTAGCACATGGCAGGGCAAAACCACTCACCTCATGACCAAGAAGCAAAAAAAGAAATGGAGAGGGAGGGATTGGAATCCCATTACCCCATGCAAGGGCATGCCCCCAATGACCTGAGGACCTTCCAATAGGCTCCACTTCTCAAAGATTCCACCACCTCTAAAGCACCACCTTAGGAACCCAGCCTTTAACACATGGGCCTCTGGGAGATTTTTAAGATCCAAAGTACAACAGTGAGTAAATAGAACACAGGAATTCTTGGAAGTTAACAGAGGGACACATTAACATCTGTGTGAGGCCAAAATACCAAAAGGCAATAAGGCAAAAAGAAAAAAAGCAATATACTTTGGAGTCAAAGATATGTATTCTACAATGTATGCAGACTGGTCGAGGTCAGTTTCTCAACTTCTCTGATGTTTGACTCCCTCAAAGAGTGAGACTTCTATTTGTGGGAAGGACTGCAACCT